CTTCCCTCACCAGCAAAAATTAGCCTCTCAGCCCAGTGAGCTGCTGCTCAAACGTTTCCCTCCTTCAGCGTCTGTTGCTACTGAGGCTCAAGAGGAGAGCAGTGTGCATGGCAAAGCAGCACTCATCTGAAGAAAGAGCTGCTGCCTAGACCTCGTACATCAGTGTACTCCACCGCCACCACGTATCACAGACTCTAGGCCAGAGGTAGCTCCAACGCAGATTAAACATAAATAAACTGAGAATATCCCAGCTTCCAGAAACCCACCTTGCCCAGCCTCATGCCCAGGAGGGCCTGTTCCCACCTGGACACAAAGACAACCCTCCAGTGCTGCTCTTCTTACAGAGCAGGTGCCCGAGATGAGCATTAGCCATTGCACAGAAGAAACCACTTGAGCTTGAGACTCTGACAGGAGTCTGGTGAGGACAGTGAGCGTCCCGGGTACCACAGCCCCAGCGAATCACACACTTGGGAGAGACAAAGATCACAACATGCATTTCCAGAAGAGGTGGAGGAGGATTCAACAAGAGCAAAGAACTCCCTGAGGAGAGCTTCACTTCCGCATATAAGTTTTAATATTTATTTAATACAGGCCTGCTGAAAACTGGGAAATAAGGCAAAGGCAAATTATCCTCCAGAGCCCGAGTTAACATCCCATATGCACAGACCATGCAAAGCAGCAGCTGTGTTCATCCCTGGAGCCACATCCCACATCTTCCTCATCTGCTGGAGCACAGCCTATCGCTTACAAGTCCAGAAGGAACTGACTGACTTTTTTCAGGTATTCCGACTTCAAGTAATCTCCCAGCTCATCCTTTGTGACCCACAGGTAGTCTTCCTTCAGCTCTGCCTGGGACAAATCACTGCTTTGGAGGAAGGCTTTGAAGAAGAATACTTTGGCTCCCACGTTATCCTCAGTCCTGATGGCCCTGGGGAATTTATACTTGTAAATCCCATATGGTGCATTCCCCAGGATTTTGGCTTGAATGTGATCTCCTGCAAGACCCCAGCAATGCAAGAGAGAGAAAACAGAAAACAAGATGTAAGAACACAGAGCAACAGTAACTGCTCTCCTGCAGTAACAGAAAGGACAGCATAAGCTACTTCTTGTATCTGGTTCAGACTGACTGGCCCCTCTTCGCAGAAATACTGCCAATTGTAAGCCTTTTCTCACAAAAAAAACAACTTGTCCTGGAGTCCAACAAGTCCTCTCAGGGTGAGAGAGGGAGCGACAGGGTATCAAGCTTTGCCAACCCACAGTTAAAAGCAAGGACACATGGGTTTGCAATCACCCATCTGCCACAAAAGCTGCTACAGAGTTACAAGAGTGAAAAAGAAACTGTACACATGGAGTAAACCCAGGCCATTCAAGGGGCATCTGGTGATGCTCCAACATCAGACTGCAAGGGCCAGAGATCCCAACTCACAGTCTGCCAGCCCAGTCAGCCCCCACATGCTGCAGTCGCTCTGCGACAGCGCAGTTGCAGAGCCGATTACCCAGGATCATGGCTCTTACCAGAAAACCCACCCCACTGGGCTCCATCCCTCTGCCATGAAATGCCTTTTCCCAGCAGATGGGAGGCGATTCTACTACAGCAGATGGCAAATGTCCCTCAGGTAGGGCAAAAGAAGAAAACAGCTGGGACAAAGAGGAGGGAGGGCCAGGCACACGGCAAACTACACACCCAAAAACGTAGCCATGGCTCTCTCAGCTGTGCTTCGCATTGTCTCTCCAGGCTTTTCTGTTTCACCAGAAGCATCAGGTTACTGTCCAGCCTCCTGTTCAATGATGTTCGATCATTGTTTTTATCAGCATCTGCCAAAAAACAACGCATGCTGCAAACAAAGTCTCCTGGCAGCACTGCTCTGATCCCCTCGATTCATCACCCCCTCTCTGTCTCACACCCTTCCAGCAATAATACAAAAACATGGATATGCAGAGCAAGACAAAAATCTAGACAGAAATGCCCCTGGCTGCTCTAGAAGCCAAGGCAGGATTCAGCTGGAACCCACTGCTAGACTGCACACTACTTGCTTCATTTCCACAGGGAATTTACAGCAAGCAGCCCGGATCTCCAGCTTGTCAAAACCCAGCAAGAGCACCAGGCAGAGCTTGGGAACTAAGCCACCAAACATTCCTCTCGTCTGGAAGCAACATCCATTTTCATCATTTTGCTCTGGTAAGGTTGAACACACACATCTTTGCAGCAAGGGAATACTGATTCCTTTGTCAGCCAGTTAACTCCTCGTGTGCTAACAGGGCTGCCACAGAGTCAAGATGCTTGAAAAACAAAAAAAGATGCAGCAAATTCCTTCACTCCACTAAACTGCACTCAGCTGTCTGAAAAAGACTGAGCAAACACCTCCTCTCCACTGCGCTGCACTCAGCTGTGTCTGGCAGAGGATTAGGGTGTTCTCACCCACAACCTGTACCTGTTATCCGCGGGGCGGCTTCAAATCGCAGTAACTTCTGTTCCCACTTGTCTTCCAGGTCCTGAGCCATGATGACCGTTTTGCCGGGCGCTTCGTCATCATCGTACGTGCTTTCCTTCCTCCTCCTCAGCCGCTCCTCCTCCTCCTGCTTGCGGATTTCATGATCTGAATAGTGGCTTTTCTCCAGCTCTATCTAGAAGGGCAACGCAGAGAACTGCTGAGGCGCTAGCGACGCGGCACGGACTTCACAAGCAGAATTAAATTATTTCTACCTCGGTGAAGGCAACACGACGGGAATTCCCCTGAGCTCGAGCAGGGCTTCCCCGCTCTCTACCAGGGACGCAAACAGCATTGAGGAAGACCACGGGAGCGCCGCCAACACGGTGCAAGCAGCAAATCGCACACGGAGCGCTCGGTATCACTTTGTGGCACGGAGTGACATCGCTCGAGGTGCCCCCAGCATGGCTGTGAGGGGCCATCAGCTCCTCACAGCCCTCAGTTTGTTAACCCC